TGCCTGTGATAAGGAGCCATCTGCTTTTAACGGTTTCTCATTCCTGCTCCCCCCCCCCTTTTTCAATGGCAGAACCGCAGCATGTAAAAAGCAATTCCAAAGCTAGCCATATAACAATCTATTATAAAATCTTGTGAGGATTCTGACCTAAGCGCAGCATAAAATACAGGGATCAAACTAATGGACCTTTTTTATCTTGACAGGAAATTAGGTGATAATTTTTGCTTGTTGGATCCCAGCTGATTTTTCTAAATAAAAAGGCTGACCTTTCCTTAGTTTACTCACTCACTCTTTAGGAAGGAGGAAATCCAAAATTGTTTAGAGGGACTATATTGGTTTACACCTCAGAGTCAGTATTCCTGCTTCTCTTCCTAAAGTCTTCTATCCATCATCACAGTTTCTCTCTTCATGTTTGAAAGATGGGAAAAGTCCGAATTGTCTATATTGTAATACATCTGAACATTTTAGAAAGGGCTGCATTTCAAAGAATAATTGGCCTTCACATATTTCTTTTATGCCAATCCCAAATGATACCATTGAGGAAAAACTGCATTTTCATATAAAAATTATCAACCTGGTAACCAGTGGAAAGAACTCAAAATGAATAGCAGCTGGCAGAAACTCAGAAACTAATTTTCAAACATATGGAATGCATAGATGACAAATTCCTTGACTTTTCTTCCAGATATGGATGACTGTTTTGAATGTTCTGAAGACAAATATCCAAATAAAGAAAAGAAAGAATGTATCATGAAACTGGTGGTCTTTCTAACTTTGGAAGAAACACTAGGAATTAGTTTAGCCTCCACTGCTCTTTGTTTCTTCTTCTTGACATCTTGGGTTCTTGGAACTTTTATTAAGCACAGGAACACTCCCATTGTTAAAGCCAACAACCACGCCCTCACCTACACCCTCCTTGTCTCTCTTCTGCTCTGTTTTCTCTCCTCTTTCTTCTTTCTCAGCCAACCTGGACAAGTCACCTGCCTTCTCCGACAATCCATTTTTGGCATCACCTTCTCAGTGGCCATTTCTAGCGTCCTGGCCAAAACCATCACTGTGGTGGTTGCTTTTATGGCCACGAAACCAGGTTCTCCGATGAGGAAATGGGTGGGGAAAAGATTGGCCTTTTCTATTGTCCTTTCCTGCTCTCTCTTCCAAGGCTGTATTTGTGCTCTTTGGTTGTTAACATCTCCCCCATTCCCTGAATTGGACATGCACTCAGAAGCCAAAGAAATGATTTTACAATGCAATGAGGGGTCAGCCTCCTTCTTCTACTGCGTCTTGGGCTACATGGGGATCTTGGCCCTCGCCAGCTTTCTTGTGGCTTTTCTTGCCCGTAAATTACCTGACAGCTTTAATGAAGCCAAGTTCATCACCTTCAGCATGCTGGCCTTCTGCAGTGTGTGGGTCTCCTTTTTCCCAGCCTATCTGAGCACTAGAGGAAAAGCCATGGTAGCCGTGGAGGTCTTCTCCATCCTGTCCTCCAGCGCTGCATTAGTGGGATGCATCTTTTTGCCAAAACGCTTCATCATTGTTTTCAGGCCTGAGCTCAACCACAGGGAGCAACTCATAAAGAGGAATTAGTACATCATTTGATCTTTCATCCTATCCAAAATTGCTGAAAATAAAGAATAGAAAGACTGTTTGCTGTCTACAGGAAACATACAGAAGGTGTTGTGTTTCTCAAAGAAGGAATTGTGGAGGATTATGATTATGTTATTAAATTTTCTAATATTTAACATTTTATGAACATGTATTTTGTACAGTATGATAGGTTATCAGTTTTGGATTGGTTAGGTTCTTTGAAACGTAAAATTTACAGAGTTTTTGAAACCAGTACGTATAACTGTATCTGAAAGAGGGTTTCATGCTGGTTCATCTCTATCCACCATTCTAATTCCACTGTAACCTATTCTCAGATTTTAATAATTTTGAAATTTTAGTGAAATGAAATGAAAATGTGTGGGAAAATCTCTATGTAATGCTCAGTATTTTTTTTTTTTGGCCAAGAAACAAAGGATCAGGGAAGCTTTGTTTATATTAATGGTCGCTTCCAGGGTGTTTCTTTAATTGGAGAGGTCCTTGGGGTTTATTATTATTATCATTAGCCCCCAAAAATCAAGTGAAAGATGAAGGTCCTTTCATTGAATGTTATGCACCATAATGTTCCACCGTATGGTACATTATGGTCTAGTGTAAGAAATTGATAGATTTGATGTATTTTTGCTTGTTTCTTTGTTTCTTTGTTTCTTTGTTTCTTTGTTTCTTTGTTTCTTTGTTTCTTTGTTTCTTTGTTTCTTTGTTTCTTTGTTTCTTTGTTTCTTTGTTTCTTTGT